TATATATATATATATATGTATATATATACATATGTATATATATATATATATATATGTAGGTATGTATGTAGGTATGTAGGTATTCATTTATATATGTATATATTTTCTTTAATACGGCCATTATACGGGGTTGCTTTTTTAATTGGCTTCTCCAATTCTGCTTATCAAAGCATTCTTTGCTAGTAATTCACTTCTCTCGGCTTGTAGGTAATCTTACCACCTCCTTCTCCTCCCTTTTTCCCCCACNGTGTGTGTGTGTGTGCGTGTGTGTGTGTACACACGCAACAGCAGAACAGAGCATCAGTAAAGTCCAGCTCTTGCATGATGTTAAATACGGCGATGCTTGATGAATTCGTGGTCTAGTCTGCTAGGCATGTATAGGTTGCATAGTTCATGGTGAAAGAAAGAAATTGGTTATAACGTGAAGGAATAAGTCAAAAATATGAAAAAGACAGTGAGGCTTTGTGATCTAGGACTCGAGAAGTCACTGGGAATCCTCCATGGTAAACGTTTCGCCCCCAGTGACAATTGCCGTGATTACAACTCTGTTTTGTGTTTGTTTAATGAGTAACAACTAAGATCAAGCCTGAAAATAGAAGTTAGCGGAAGCAGGTTAGAATTGAGGCTCTTGAAGCAAAGGTAGACAACCTGGTAGCAGAATGCGTGAAGAAAACGTAAATTTGAAGGAATTGGTAGATAATTTGCGCAGGAATACAACCATTCTGAGAGAGAATATTTAAAAGTCTTCATTGAAAATCAAGGAACTCCTTTTAAGTGGGTCGTGTATCAGTGGTTAGAGTGACCGTCTTGCAGTCACTTGCAACAGCGGTGAGGGTTCGAATCCCTTTCGGAGAGGTTACATATTCATCATACCAATGCGGTCAGTGCATTTTTCCATCTTTCATTGAATACACCTCAGCTTTTCTTATTTGGGATTAGAAGCTCTTTCTACATATACCGAGTGCCCACGGGGTGTATGTGTAAAACTTCGCTATACTTACTCATGTATGAGTAGTTGGGTAATGTCTATGAATGCTAGCTAGCCCTTAGTTGCATACTCCTTTTATTAGGTAGCGTATCAATGGTTAGAGTGACCGTCTTGCAGTCACTTGCAACAGCGGTGAGGGTTCGAATCCCTTTCGGAGAGGTTACATATTCATCATACCAATGTCGTATAACTTCGTATAATGTATGCTATACGAAGTTATTACGTGTGTGTGTGTGTGTGTGTGTATGTGTGTGTGCGTGTGTGTGTGTCTGTGTGTGTGTGTGTGTGTATGTGTGTGTGCGTGTGTGTGTGTCTGTGTGTGTGTGTGTGTGTGTATATATATATATATACATATAGATATATATATACATACATATATATATATATATATATGTGTGTGTGTGTGTATATATGTAACTTCTCCCCACCCTCTTTTCCTTCGTCAGGTGGAGGAGCTGATCTCGTCTGCGCAGC